GCTATTGCTGCATTCCTGTTCCCAGTCAGCTGAGGTGCAAATTTACCTTGAATGTGTTGCCCTTGGGGATCACTTGTTCTGAACTGTTTACCCATAGCTGAGCAGTTCAGAAGAGTTGTAGATTTTCCTGAAGCATACAGGGACAAGCGCAGCAAGCAGACTGGTGTGTGTGCAAGAGCACCAACACAGCAATGAGGGCAGGTAAACTGCTCTACTGACATAGATCGGCGTTACACGTGACTGTTTCAAAGGGATGCTTCAGGAATGATTGGTAATTGGTCGCTTTGCAATTGGGATCAACTGGTGTAAAATCTTCATGGATATATTAGGGGCAGAGACAGAGAAATATATCTGGTGAGGGAGAACTCCCTCCAAAGGTTTACATTAAGTCTAGAAGGAGGCAAGAGCAACCCAATATGTTAAACCTTAACTAATGTTAAGGTAATAAGGAAGTACGCTTTTTTGTTGTTGTTGTTTGTTTTGTTTTGTTTCTACCCTGAAAACCTTTTGTGAACTAAAGCAACAAAATTCATCCTAATTTATGTGGATTTTAGTGTAATACTATCTATGACCTGCATTTGGTAGAATAGGGATGTCCTTATCAAGGCAAGAAACAGCTGCATTGATCTCATTAAGATGTTTATCACAGAATATATTTCAACAGACATCCCTGGTTACCCTCTGCTGAACATTTTTTAGCTTTTAAGATAAAACAGAGTTTAACTAGGAGTTCATGCATTGTATGTGCATTGCTATAGAAACATGGAACCGTTTTTGTTGAAAAAGGCCTTTAAGATCATCAAGTCCAACCATCAACCCAACACAACCGAGTCCACCTATAAACCATGTCCCTTAATACCATGTCCACTATAATGTAGATTGATAATTTTATATCACTCCAGTTGATAAGAGCTATCAGTTAAATAAAAATAAAAATAAAAATAAAGAGAAATTGGATGACAAAGACCCTGCAAAGACGCTTAGAATGGGAGTGGTATAGCAAGCAGTAGGGTGCAAAAACAGCAAGTTGGGGATAAAGGTCCCAGTGTAATTTAATAGTAGGGGAGCATTTCAGGTATCTCTTTGGGCTAAATGCACAGAGGATCTATGACTACATTAGCACCAGTAAAAGATGTTTAGCTCAGTAGTAGCAGCTGGTTTCAGCCTGTGATGTTCTGTTGGATGGCTTTGGGGTATCTAGGAAAAGAGAGAAGTGAGCAAAAAACAATACAACAGTCTCCACTGAAGCAAAGATTTTTTACTTGGCCTCTGTTAAAAATCAAATATCACATTACCCAACAAGTCATTTATATTTCATACTATTTTTAAACATGATCAGTTCTGAAAAGAATTGTCTGCCATCAGAATGGACAATGGGCCTTTTTGTGCCCTAGTAGAACAGAGACCATGAAGCTTTGATTAGGCTAGACAGTAAGAAAGAAAAAAAGAAAGAAGAAAGGAAAAAGAAAGAAAGAGAAAGAGAGAGAAAGAAAGAGAAAGAAAACACAAAGTTACAGTCTGGGAATCTGAAATTCAGGAAAAAGAAAGTTATCATCTTGTGTGCCTTGGAGAAACATGGGTGTTAAAGGCTGTACAACGAATAAGTATTGTTAATACTCTATTTTGGGTGTCTGCTTTCCTTTGTACAAGATCAGAGAGGAGCAACATCTGCAGGTAAATCACAGAAGGAACCTGTAGTCTGAAACAAAAAACTATTATTATGAAATTTTAAAACCAGCATCATATCAACATATACCATGAAGAAAGTGCCAAATAATGAAAAAAGGGATATGTATATTTTTTTTAATTTGTTTTTCCATTGAGGAACTAGGCCAAATTAGAGATCCTGTTCAATAGCCCTTTGGTCTTCAGGCCTCATCTATAGAAGTCACTTTGACCTCATTTTTTTTCCCAAGCCTTAGGCTCAGTCCACAAGCTTAGCAATTCATGTCTCCTTCAAAGTGGTCCCGGAGGACAACTAAGAACTTGGGCTGCTGAATAACTCTCCTGAAGTGCTTACAAGTCACGGAGGGCTAGTTAGGTCCCTGGATTGGAAGCCACTAGGAAATGCTAAAGGTTAAGGTGGCTATCCTTGGTCTCTGTTTTTCTACACTTCAGTCTACATCCATAAAATGGGATGAATGGCAATAATTTTTCACACCTTTCTTTCTGGCTGAGGTTGTAACCATTGATGTGTTAGCCCTGCCTAGGACCTTTCTCTCTCTTGGAGCATTTGAGCTGTATTATAACAGTTCCCCATTTTCCCAAATGCCATAGTGGCAGATTTATATTTACATGCTATAAAAACATCAAAGGCAAAACACCTGCATAGCTAGAAAGTCTTTGGTAGGAAGGGGACGAACAAAACGACCTCAAAGAAATTCACCATCTGTGATTTCCTTGATTCCCTCTGAAAGCTCTCTCTCTATTTTGCTGACATACGAGCTGGGTGCTCTATTGTACATCAGTGTAACAAATAGCCGTTATCTTCCGTTTCATGGGAGATACGGCAGAACATGATTTATTTGTGCCTGCTCTGCTGCCTCTTTTGAAATGTTGCCATCGTTCAGTGCACTTTTCACAGAGGGGAAGGCAGATGGTCATCGCAAAGTTTCCCGTAACCTTGTGGTGCATGCTGCATAGTGAATCAATGAAATCTGAATTACAGTCCATTGTCTGAAATGGGAGCTGTGCTGCTAAGTATCCTGCAGTGACTGAAAATGTTTGAATGTCAATACTGCATATATGCTGAGGAAATATGACATTTCTTCGCAAAATTTCAAAGCGGTGCCAAAGGGGATTTTTAACTGCAGAGTTGCATCTGATGTGAGCAGGGACTGCATTGCTCAAGATTTAATTATCAGCTTGGAAACATTCCTTTTGTGAGTGTATGAGTGTTAGATATGACCCTTCTTAAAAAAAAAAAAATAAAAATAGAAATAGTAGAAATACTGAATCAAAATGGGTTTCTAGCATGAAATGCCAGGGAGAAAGATTTTTGGAGTCCAAACAGCACCCGCTGCCCCTCTGTGCTAGCTCCTTCTGCTTATATGACATTTGTAATGAGTCTTCAGGTGATTTCAGAAGCTGGCATTAGACTGCAAATCACCTTTTGTGTCAGCTAGTGCCAGGATACTTCGCCAGAAGCCATTATTTCAATGGGAAATAACAACTGGGAATAGGGAAAAAATGAACTTCTGAAAAGCACTTTGTCACATTCCCTGGGCAAATGCTAGAAACAGTATGAGCTCTTGCCATGAAAGCAAGCGTAGTGAGAAATTTCTCAGTGGGAGGATTGCCTCCTTTGCATACCAAGAGACAAGACAAGGTGAGTATATAAAATATTTTCAGCACTATCTCTCAATTTCTGATATTTATTAGTTGTATGAGCAGATGTCCCAGAAGACATCTATGTTTCATAAAGCCTGGTATCTTGCTTCATTCATATTTCCTTAGGATGGGAATCATGAGGAACATCAGGAGTAACCTCCTGCACAGGTCTGGCAAATTCAGGTAGCAACCTTAGTGCAGCACAGGTATTTCTAGAAATAGTTAATGTTTGGCATAATAGATGATAAAAACACCTTCCCAAATGCTTCTGGCTTTTTTTTCAGATGATGGCTCCATGTGTGTGTAGGGCAGAGCATCTCCCAGATTTAAGCTGTCAGTCAGCTTGTTCCTATAGCACATCTAGGCAAAGAGTATTATCTCATGTGACCTCACTGCTGCAAGATGTTTTATATATTAAATGGCTTGAGAATTTTATGTTTTCATTAAATACAAAAGGAAAGAAATCTGAGAACTTTTAATCCCATTTACAGAAAAAAAAAAAAAAAGTGAAATGTTGTTATTTGGTGTTCTGCAGACATTTAATCCCTCATTTTAGAGTTATTTTTTTCAAAGAGATTACTTGTGCTAGGGCATTTTTATCCAATCTACTGAGTCTTCTTCCTTATTTTGCAACAGGGGTTTGATCTTCTAAATCCACACAAGCTCACCCTGATGTGAAAGGGGCAGATCACAGTTATTCTAGAGAACTAGCATAACCTGTGGCTTAAAAGTTTTATTAATTGTTCCTAAAAAAATATAAATAAATAAAAATATTTTTAAAAAAAAAACAAAAACAAAAAGACAAAAAAAAAAAAAGAAAGCAAACAACCAACAACAACCATCTAATTGTGAGCAGATAACTCTACTAAAAATAAGAAAGAAAAAAAGGGAGGGGATGGGGGGGAAAGGGGAGACAGGGGAAGAGTGTACCTGGTGTCTCCTTCACTTGTTTTTGTGGACTCTCTATGTTCTAGCATATACTGAAATAAGAGATACCAGGTAAGGTTTATGTTCGTGAAATATACATATATAATCGTAGCTGAATCAAGGGCTAAGGTATATTCTTATTTCTGTTCCATCAAATCCATGAAATCTCAAATAAGCAATTGAAAGAGTCTGATTTTATTTATATTGTTCTAGAACACGAGTAGCTATTAAACTTTGCAGATCTATCTACATTAAGCTACTCTTTGTACTTAGGACCCAGAACCCCATTTTTCTATACATTTCCAACTCTTTAAAACCATTTTCTGAGTGTTAGAAAATTGCAAATCTTCCAGCTTCCAACTTTTCATACTTCAGTAATTGGAATTTTGTTGTTGTCTGTCAAGTTAAAATGTGGAAAAGGGCTCTTCTCCCCTGGCATGAGGAGCTTGCATGCAACATTTCTGTCCCTGAACATTTGGGACTGCAGTATCTGGGCAGTCCCTGAGCTGCGACACAGAATTGCAAATAAGTCTATAATGAATAAGGAACAGAGAGAAGTGTGGCATGGACCAGGGATGTGACCCAAAGCCCACTGAAGTGAACGTCACGACTCCTATTGACTGCAGTGGCCTTTGAGTCAAGCTCTCAGCCTGTCTGTGAAAGAAGCGCAGATTCAATCAGTATCGCTGTGACACATCTTACACAGGATAACCACATGCTCATCTTTTTACTTTCCCTCCCAGGATGGAAGGAGCAGTTTTATTGGCCACCAGCTCGGAGGGGTCATGGAAGTGCCCAACAGCAAGGACCAGAGAGTCAAATCAGCCAGAGCCATCCAAATCACTTACTACCTCCAAACGTATGGCTCTGTCACCCAGGACCTCATTGGGGAGAAGTGGGAGAGTGAATTCTGTAAACTGATGCACAAGATGCAGCTGGATCACCAAGATCTGCAGCTCTACTCACTAGCGTCCTTCAGCCTCTGGAAGGACTTCCACCAGACCAGTCTCTTGGCCAGGGGCAAGATTTTGGTGAGCCTGATGCTGATCCTCCTGACTGCTACCCTCTCGAGCTCCATGAAGGACTGCCTGCGTAGCAAACCTTTCCTGGGACTCTTGGGAGTACTCACTATCTGTATTTCCAGTGTCACTGCGGCAGGGATATTTTTCATTACTGATGGAAAATATAATTCTACTCTGTTGGGAATCCCTTTCTTCGCTATGGGTAATTATTTATCTTCATAATAATAGGATTAACAGAGCTTAATGACAGGATTGTAAATTACATCCTGGGTTATAAAGTGCAGATTTTACCTTGAGTGAAAGTCTAAGTTGTTTTCATCTTGTTAAATTGATCTGTGCCTTGCCAAAAAAAAAAGGAAAAGGAAAACAAAACAAAGCAGTAGCAACAATAAAGAGTGAATGACGTTGCTGGAATCTTGGCCAATATGAGAGGGGGGCAGTTTTATTGATTTCTGTTACAAAACAAAGGAGAAATTGTTATTGAAAACTAGTCAGCTCAGCACAGAAAATGGATATGTGTTGACCTGACTTGGATGGGAGGCCAGCCAAAAGAGTGAGTTAAAAAAGGAGGACAACGTAGAAGGAAAGATTTTAGCGGCCTTCCTAAGGAGGGCTTCTCTTCCAGCTCTGTCTGAGGGGCAGAGGGGAATGGGTTGGTGTAAGAATAAGATTGATGGACTTTATCGCAGAGAGGAGATTACAGCTGTGGTGTTTGCCAGGCTGTAAGCAAAGGGGCTGTCAGTATCTGTAGTGCATAATCCCTCAGTTTGTGAAGTCCAAGATCAGCTGCAGAGATTTCCTTTGTGTTGTACCCTGGCAGGGGAAGGTGCAGCCAATGAATGGACATAAAAACAGTTCTTCTAGCTGAATTGTTTTCATTATTTCCACACTCATTCTGTTCCAGCACATTTAGCTCTTCTGTGTATTTAATTATTTTGTTTGGAAGGTATGCTGGAAAGGAAGAGGGAAACATGTCCAAAATGGCATGCTGAGGCAGTGGTGTTTGGTGCCATCACATTTACATCTGTCAGAGGTTTGCCATATCACTAGTGTGAACCTCACTTATGACTCTATGCAAAGTCTCAACAGAAGCAGCCCAGATCCCCATGCTCACTTTTTGAGGTCAGAAAACCTCATCTGTGGACATATCTCTGCGTCTTTACAGTTAATTTCTTAAACTTAATGCTTGTAGTACTCAAGTTTAGCCCTCTGGTATAGTAAAAGATAACTAAGTACGCAAAGGCACAAGGTAGAGTTAAGATTTGGAGCAGGTCTTGTATTTTTCTTTAAAAACTCACACCATCAAAAAAAAACAAGTTTTACTTGCTCCTTCTCTCAAGAAAATTCCCATAGACATATGCATCTTCCAGCTCGCATCTTCCAGCTCTCTGCGTTCTATTTCATCTGTCCCCTGCCCATGCATCCATGTCCCTAACCAAGGAGGCAGGCTGCTTCCTTCTTGGTCTTGCACCCATCAACAGCATCTGGCCAGGGTAGGAAGGAGTGGATTGGAGTGAATGGTCGAGAATCCAGCTGCAAAAGGGAAAAGTGACGTTAAAAAAAAACAAAAAAAAAAAACAAAAAAAAAAACAAAAAAAAAAAAAAAAAACAAAAAAAAAAAACATGGATTTGCAAAATTCGTTCAGCTTCATTAATGCAGATAAACAAAGCCATCCCAAAGCCTCTAATTCAATCATCAGCACTGTTGAATCCCAACAATGGCCCCAGAAAGTTTGATCTGTGCCAATTTTCACTCTTCTATGCATATCCTAGGCATGTTTTAGTGGCTTGCTGAAATGGCGTGGTTTGGACACAGCATTTATTTTTGGGAAAAATAAAATTTAGCTGTATGGCCCAGGGTTGGATCATTCCTATTAGCTCCAGGACAAGAGAAGAGGACCTGAAACTGCTTTGTTTGAGGGATCTGTGTAACAGGATGGAGAAAAGATAGACAGTATCAAAGGGAAGACTCATGCTTGTTATCAGATTATGGCAACCTTTTTTGTTGGGTGTCAGGAGGTGTGTATCATCTAAAATGCACTGCCTTGCTTTGTGCAGCAAGCTGAAGTGAGGGCCAAATGTATACATATATGTATATGTATATGTATATGTATATGTATATGTATATGTATATGTATATGTATACGTATACGTATACATGTATGTATATGTATACAACCTAAGGTGGTGAAAAGCAACTTCCATTAATTGTTTATTTCTCTGCTGGCATCCCTTTTCAGACAGCTGTAGAGATCAGGGCACATGCTCTTTGCTTGATGGATCCCTGAGTTTTCACACCCAAGGAACAGCAAACACTATTTGTAGAAATGCATCTTCAGGCTGACCTGAAAAACATCAGCATCCATACATCCCAATTGTAATAACAGTAGCATTGTGCTTAATTCATACATATCCTGCAGCCCCAGTATTAGACAAGGGTAGGAGTTTCTAAAAGCAGGGTGTCTCAGTTTCCCATTTAGGATGGTGGAAATTTAAGAGTTCTACTGTCTAAGGAATAGTAAGATTTATAACTTTCTGTTGTGTTTTGCACTGTCACTTTTGTCACAGCCACTGCCAAGAGCAAAAGAACAACAACAACAACAAAAAAATAATAATAATAAAAAAAAATCCAACAACTAAACTCTCCAAGGATTGCTTCTGTAACATTATATCAAATAAACTTCATGTTGAAAAATAATACACTTAAGTAACCTTTTACAAAAATTTCATTCAGGAATCCCAAACTGAATTGGAAATATATAGGGAAGAGATGTTACCAACAGTTTTTGGAAAATATTTGGGAACAGTTTTATGATTTGATCAACTAAGAGATGGGAAGCCTGACTTTACAAAGCCATACAGGGTTACTCCTGCAAAGAGCCCGATGCCTTTAATGCCATGAATGATGGTGCCAGCTAATGACATCTTGCACTGCCCATGATATGCCCAGGGCCTCATGGAAATAGGATCTTCACAGGGCAGAGATTTCTGTAGAACCTTGTTTACTGTGAAGTGATCTAATCATTAGAATAGATCCACTGAAGACCCCAACCCCAATTCTGCAGGGCAATGCATAACAATGGTGCATGTTGTACCAGTGACCCTTGCTGGTAAAACAGCAGAAGCAAATAATGCATCAAATAATAATTCTGTGAACGTAAATAAAAGTCTACAAAACAAAGTTTCCCAGAATTACAAATACAGATTTACAATTCAGGCTTTCAAAGTCAAGCTACTTAAATTGAAGAAGAAGAAGAAGAAGAGGAAGAAGAGGAAGATGAGGAAGAAAATAAAATAAGGCATTTACATGGGTAAAACCACCAAGTGCCTGGCAGTGCATTGCTACCCAAAATACATGCACAGTCTGAATTCTGGCAGCTTTGGAATGATTCAACCTGACATTTGCAAAATCTTAATTTAAAGTATATGTGTTTATTCAGAAATACACTGTTTATTCTGACATTCACTTCCAAAGGATTATTTTTAATGAAATTCTGTGTTGTTCATCTGCACTTGTTCTTTTCATGAATAGCAAGATGCTGTCATGTGAATGACTAATGGAATCATCTAGGTTGGGAAGGATCTTCCAGATCATGAAACCCAATCATCACCCTGACCTATCAAGTCCCATCAGTAAACCACCTCCCCTAGTACCACGTCTACATGTCACTAATACCTCCAGAGATGGGGACTCCACCAATTCCCTAAACAGCCTATTCCAATGTTTGACCACCCTCTTCATGAAGAAATTCTTCCTTACATCCAATCTAAACCTCCCATGGCACAACCTGAGACCATTTCCTCATGTCCTATCATTTGTCACATTAGAATAATGCCTGACCTTTTACAAATATTTAAGTCCATAATTCCTATCCTAGTGCAGAGCTTCTGTGAGTTTCAGCGTCTGATAGAAGACTGCCTAAAAGTTAAATGTTTAATATTTTTTTATAAATTTAAACGGAATTACCTACACATGAATTATTTATGGCAGTCCTACCTGTAAGGGAATGGTCTGCTGGGATAAAGCATGTCTCTGACTATTAGGGAAAGAACATTAGCTTAGACTGGCTTTTCTTTATTCTTCAGAGAGAGAATCTTCAGCCTTAATAAGGCAAGAGGACAATGGCAGAGAACCCTACTTGCTCTGAGTCCCTTTTTCTAAAACCCTGGTCTTTTCAGCTGCCTCAGGAAATCCATTTTCCCCAATACAGTATCTACTCTGCTTTGTTTGGGTCATGAGGAGAAACTGTTAAGAAAGACCCTATGCAGCTACTGCTCCGAGTGCTAGAATCTCATTCAAGCAGGTGCTGAGTTTTAGCTCTTTATATTCCAGTCAAATGTTTAAATATAATAAGGTAGTGAAGAGGTATTTCTTTAGCTTCAGGGCTTGCTCCTTTAAGAACTGAACTGGACTTAGATGCTCCATTTTGTTTTGTTTTCTATTTTTTGTTTGTTTGTTTTTAAGTGTGTTTTAATTAATTGTTATGTGAAATCAGAATATGGGACAGTTTGGCCTTGCATCTAACAAAGATTTATCTTCTAGGACAAATAGAAACTGATATTTCTTCTGCAAGTTTGACACTAGCAGATCTATCATCACTGGAGACTCTTAGGAGATAGAGAGTCTCTGGGTTTTGGATTAGTTCTAGACCTGAGAAATGTACCTAGTTAGATAATCCATCTGACTTTTTTTGTTTGGATTCACAACACAATTTCAAAGAGATGTTACGTACGTGATATAATTATGGTTCCCCGTGTCTAATCATCACTAATTAATATAACCAGAAGGTTAACTACATAATTGAGATATTATTGCTCCCATGATTTGTGTTTTAATGCACAGGAACCAGACTGATATCATCAGAGAGACAATAATTTAACTCAGATGAGAATATGACTATATTTTTAAGTACAGGTATATTAGTTATGTAATTTTACACCATAATTATTTTTGGACAGTCAGTGAAGTACTTCATTATATAATGGAAATCTTATGTAAAAAAAAAAAAAAAAAAAAGTAACTACAAGGTACTGGAGCGTAATTATGCTTTTTGTATTATAAAATATATGTGTTCTTTAGACAGATGGATTCACTGACAGGTTATTTCCTTTCTTTGGTAATCCTGAAGATTTGAAGATCTTCAGGAAAGATTCTAGGATCTTTATGGGAAATGCCACTTCTCTCTGAGTCTTAAGGCAACA